GCCTAACGATCCCTCGGGCTGTTCACGTGACTATCTATATATCTATTTTTAGTTTTTTTTTTTTTAAAGGTTTAGTCAAAGGGAGATACATTTTGTCTTCCTCAACACTGTACTTCATAGTGAATTGAATACTAGGATTGATATTATTAATACATACTTGGAATGTCTTTAGGTTATCCAGATTTTCATTCCCCAAAAGGAAACCATCTAGATGACTTTTTCAGTTTTCTTTTATGATGCAACTGAAGTTATTCCCATAGCTTGCCGGGGTTCTGTCATGACTTCCCTTTTTAGACATATTAATAACAAAAAAAAACACTAAGCGAGAAAACGGCATATACTTTAAACAGATTGATACTCGACAATATCTTCTTTTAAATCTTCTCACCCGAAACACACCCGTACCAACATCATACTCAACCTTGCCAAGCTGATATATACAATAGTCTCAAAAAAAACCACAAGAGACCATAGACTAAAAGAAATGAAAAAAATACTCATCAAGAGAAAATGCCCACAAAGTTTGGTCGATAGTAGTATTAAAAAAAGCTAAGAAAAAATAACATCCACACACTCCGAGAATCAAAAGGAAAAAAAGGTCATCCCTTATATCTCAATATTCAACCCAAAGAACACAGAAATCTACACACACATACAACTAAATATACCAAACCTACTGAAGGAGAAGAGAAATGAAAAGCCTAATACAACAATATCCAATCATAAAAAGTAAACTAAATCACGAAAAAAAGATACTGACCCGTGCAAACCTGCAGACACAATAAAAGACCCTAAGGTGAACAAATGCAACCGGCATCTTTACGGCGTATGCAACTACCTATTAAAGGGCCATGAATCACACTTCAAAGACCGATCAAAATTAAAAATTAAAAATGAATTCTCGTGCAACACAGTGAATTTAATATACATAATAACATACAAAGGTTGCCACGAGCATTACATTGGCCAAACCGGCCAAAATTGTATTTTTTTTTTACTGCGGGAAAAATCTGCCTCGTCAATCATGTACCGAAAATATAAGATCGCCTAAACGTGTATCACGCATGGCACATAACTGGCTGATTAAAATCCCTGTCGGATTAATAAATAAAAATACCTTTATATATATATATATATATATATATATATATATATATATATATATATCAAAGTATATAATTGGTATACACGGAATGAATTCCAATAACCAACAATATTAGAGCAGGATTTCGTTGTCAAGCTTTTGAATCTTTCTATACTTCGTTTTTGATTGGTTATTCTAGCTTTTGTAACAATGTTTCCCCCCAGTGTAGGATCGTTAATTAATCTGAAACTTTTAAAACCATTTATTTTCTTTTCAACATCATCACTTGATAAGACACAGAGTCTGTTGAAACAAAATGGCTATTTTTGTAGTGATTTTATAACATACTTATGTTATAATTTTTTTATAAAAAATTATATATATATATATATATATATATATATATATATATGAGAAGAAATAGATAGAGCGTATGTAAATATAAATAAAGGTGATTATTGAAGTCAACACTCAGAGGCGACAGGCTGTTTCATGCTAGACGCAATCGCCAGGCCGCGTCTGTCATGAAACAGCCTGTCGCCTCTGAGTGTTGACTTCAATATAGATAGATAGATAGATAATATTAGTGGTAAATATATGTATCTTTAATGTATTAGACATCCGACAACATTCATATTTCCCCCTTCCACTCACCTCTTTAAAAAAAACCCTCTCTATTAAGTTTTAATCGCCCACCTTCTCTCGTCTGTTACACCTTTCTTTAGCTCTAACATTCGTCCCACACTCTCATATTTACACTCTCTCTAAATTTTATTTTTATTTCCGGAGTTGTTTTTTTCTGTTTTCTTTTTGAATTTGTAGGTCTGATGAATTAGGTCGTATTTACGATTCCAATGGAATAAATTATGACCATGGAATATTAGTGTTTAAGTTTTTTTTTATATATATATATATATATATATATATATATATATATATATATATATATACTGTGCCAAAAGGTTACCAGTATTCACATGTAATGGTATGTGTCCACCCCTATATCCGTTGTATTTTGATATCTGGTGACTCAGTGTATACAGGCTCGGCTGCCCAGAGCAAGACGACGTGAATTATGGGAGTTTAAACGATGGTTGATTACGGATACTAGTAGAATGTGACATTCCATTTACGAAATTTCGGAGCATTTGTCTTCCTTGGACGATAAGGTGTCACGTGTGTATATAGAATGTATGTGAAAATCTATCACCGCCCACCATCGAAACACTGTCGTTGACTATGTGTCTTCAGTTATCGACGTCAGGGGAGAATGACTAGAATTACCAGTAGAAAATTACAAGCGAAACTGACTCAAACTTAAATTCAGAACGTACCAGTTGCATGTCAAGAAAATATCTTTAGCACTCATTAGCTTTCATGGGATTTCGTTTGAGAAACATACTTAAATTTAACTTTATCATAAGTTTTCCTGCTTTTTATTATATTGTTTTAGATTATTACTTCATCGGCCTCATATTGTTTTCTTAATTAAGAAAACTCCGTCAACCAAGACTACAATTTGCATCCTTTATTGTAAAGACGCGACTTTTAGTTATTTATTGATAACCTAATTACTACATTATTAACTTGCAATTTATCTGATGTTAATTTCACCTTATCTTAAGAAGCAGAATAAAAACAAAGATTATAAAATCGATAAGTAAATATGCAGGGTGATTGAAAAGTAACTCCCCTCTTAAAATACTTATATTTTTACTAACTATAAATTTTACGAGAGGAAAGAGTTTAGGGTGTGGTTATATTTAAAATTTGATATGGCTACAAGATTTCGCTGACAGCTTCTCAAGCCGACCAGGAATCGCTTCATCTGATTTCACTAGGAACTCTTGTGGTATGGATTGCATGACTTTTTGTATTTCCCCATCAAGTTCTTCCAAATTTTGGTTTGTTATGGCATACTTGCTTCTTTAAGCAACCCTAGAGAATAAAGTCGCAGGACGTTAAGTTAGAACTCCAGACTTTCCCTCATGCATAAAATAGCGAGTTGCATTTCAATCACCTTGTAGATAATATAAATAAATGTTCCGTATATATCATGAAATTGATTGCGAATATTAGAAACCTTAACTATAAATATGAAGAAATTTACAGTAAATTTAATTTCATTTAGAAACGAAAATTAAATATATTTAAGTTATAAATCTATTAAACATATAAATATTAAACATATATTAAATATATAAATATATAAAATAATTATAAACTAACATTAAATATACTTAAACATATAAATATATTAAACATATATATTGAACATAAAAATATATTAAACATATAAATATATAAAACATTTAGGAACGAACATTAAATATATTTTCAAAACTGAAGATAATGAAGCAAAGTAGAAAAGCTAAAAACGACGCGTTTACTTTGTGGTTTCTTTATGTTAGAATAAAATAAAGTCAAAATATTATGTTAGCGAAAATCCTTGTGATCTCTGACGATAAGTGGAGGCCATAAATCAAATTACATTATCGTATTCATTACGAGACCCCAGAGAATGTTTTTTAGGCTGTTATATCTATCTATCTATCTATCTATCTATCTATCTATATGGATGGTGATGTTATTTTTGTTGTGGTTATATATTTTGTATCCCTTTCTTCTTCGTTGTGAATGAAATGATAATGATATGGGTATTGTAGGTTTTGCATGTGTTTTTTATGTCTTTTTCTTCTTTAGGCAAATACTGGGGGCTGCAAATTTTCAATGCTTTCAAATAGAAACCTATAATAATTACAGATTTAATTTTAGAAGAGTGGTTTGAGTAGAACATGACTAGGTCATTTATGTCGGTAACTTTTCTATAAACGCGAAAAATTAAGTTATTGTTTCTGGGTAACAGGATATCTAGGAAGGAAAGTGTGTAGTTAGCAACTTCACCCATAATAATATATTATATGAGAACAGACACACACAGACAGACACACACACACACACACACACACACACACACACACACACACACACACACACACACACACATATATATATATATATATATATATATATATATATATATATATATATATATATATAAATGTCTTAGAGCCGTTTGGTGTCTTTTTTCCTTTATGTTCTTTTTGCAAAGAGAATTTGAACGTCTTCATTATGAAAATACATATCCGTCCAGCAGAAAGTAGGCGTGTCTTTAAAAGAAACTTTCATTATTGCCACGTAGCCAGTTCATATCATTTGAGATACAAACCTCACTGATTTAGAAGGTTAGAAATTTCGGTGTTACTGAGGAATTCGCTCCAATACACTTTTACGGCAGTACAAGGATATGGCTAACAGTAACGCCCGTGTAGGCACGAACAGTGTTGTTATACTACCCAAGATTCGGCACCACATAGAATGTAAGCAACACGATGTTTTTTGTTTTTTTCATAGAATCTAGATTTCGCATATTTCATGAGTTTTCTTTTATCGCAGGCACATGCGCGTAATTTACAAATGCCTTCTTACACTGACCTGTCTTATTTTTCTGTTGGTTATGATATAGGAATAGGCTCTCCCCGACTCGTGTGTGGCCGGCAATACTATAGCTGAAACAGTTTATAATATTTGCGCCTACGCTTGTGGCAGATTGAAGAAAAACAAATATAGACGTTAATGAATAACATACACGCACAGAGAGGCATATATCCCTGTATTCGGCCCTTCAAAAAGTGTGGATGGTCCCGCGTTAAACAACCAGATTTTTAGCTATCTAGTCAGCTAAATAGATACATAGATAAACAGATAGATAGATATGCGGAGAATAAGAAAATACATATTTACACACTTATATGTGTCTGTGTGTATTTGTGATTAGAAAGAGTGAAAGAGATAGAGAGAGACGAAGCAAGTGCTTAGTGTCTGTCTGTCTGTCTCTCTCTCTCTCACTCTCTCTCTAATAATAGTGAGAAAGAAAAAAAGAAAGAAAGAAACATTTTGAGAGATAGAGAAAGAAAAAATAGACAGAGAAAGTAAAAACAAAGAAAAATAAACGATAAAATGTGTTAGAGATACAGGACGAGCTAAGATGGTTGATAAAAAGTTAAAGAAAGACAGAAAAAGATAAAAAGTAAGGTACATAGATAGAGAGACAGACATAAACAGACATATGCATATATATATATATATATATGAACAGACTGAGATAGATAGATAGATAGATAGATAGATAGATAGATAGATAGAAAAAAAAACGATTGAACTAATTTGCTAGTTAGGTACAATAAATTAGAGAAAGGCAGAAAAAGGATAGATAGATAGATAGATAGATAGATAGATAGATAGATAGATAGATAAGGAAAATATTGAACTAATTTTCTAGTTAGGTACAATAAATTAGAGAAAGGCAGAAAAAGGATAGATAGATAGATACATACAGATAGATAGATAGATAGATAGATAGATAGATAGATAGAAAAAAAAGATTGAACTAATTTGCTAGTTAGGTACAATAAATTAGAGAAAGGCAGAAAAAGGATAGATAGATAGATAGATAGATAGATAAGGAAATATTGAACTAATTTTCTAGTTAGGTACAATAAATTAGAGAAAGGCAGAAAAGGATAGATAGATAGATAGATAGATAGATAGATAGATAGATAAGGAAAATATTGAACTAATTTTCTAGTTAGGTACAATAAATTAGAGAAAGGCAGAAAAAGGATAGATAGATAGATAGATAGATAGATAGATAGATAGATAAGGAAAATATTGAACTAATTTTCTAGTTAGGTACAATAAATTAGAGAAAGGCAGAAAAAGGATAGATAGATAGATACATACAGATAGATAGCTAGCTAGATAGATAGATAGATAATGAAAAGATTGAAATAATTTACTAGTTAGGTACAATAATTTAGAGAAAGACAGAAAAAGATAGATAGATAGATAGATAGATAGATAGATAGATAGATAGATAGACTCACAGAGATAGATAGATAGATAGATAGATAGATCGGGCGATACTGAAATATACAGATAAGAAATTACGGAGATCATTTTCCCTTCTATTCATTTCTCTAGACTCCAACATTTTAGCGATTATGCGCTTGCACAACCGTCTCTAGACGTTTATAATTCTTCCATAGAAAATATGTTGAACGCTGAGATGACATCATAAACTGCATAGTCGCCACTCCTTCTAACTTTGAGACAGAATAAAAAAAAGAAATCAAATCTCTCCTGGATGATAATCACGTGATATAAAACGTGATCTGAATGGGTTCTTCTCATTTCTTGCTGCGGAAAAGCATTGACAGACTCCTCTAGGCAAATTTAGGTAGGATTTGTTTTCCTATAGAAACATATTTTGCTTCATATGTAATCATTCTTCGTGAATCGGCGTGCATCACATATAATATAAATGACATAAATAAGGTTTTAAGGCACTTGCCATAGAAAAGACAGTTAGCATATTGCATTGCAGACCAGCCACTGGCGGAGGAAAATCGATTCTGACTCGATGACATCTAGTATCAGTCAAAATTCCCTAATTATCTTGTATATCATCTTAGATTTTTACTATAAATTTATGATGTTTAATATTTAGTATGGCTGATGCTAACCTAGGAGAGTGACTCATTGCAGCTCTTCGGGTTAATGGTTTTCGATGACCTGAAGTCGAAAGATAATATTGACTCAACTGCTAAGTATATTGCTAAGAAAATCGGTCCATTGTTTTCATCGTAGGTATTTTTTTCTCGACAAAAATAATCTTACATATTAATTAACTCTGCCATTTGCCTATACATATAATATTGCTGTCACACATGGGCTGGTGCTTCTGCTATGTATTTAGAGACTCTTGATAAAATACAAATATATCTGCAAAGCCAATTGTCTTCACCTGGCATTTCTGCTGCAGTTACATTCCCACCGTCGGAATATAACTTTAATGTGATTTTTCTATGAATAATTTAATGGTGATTGTTCTGATGCACTTTCATCTGAGATTCTTAGATTTATGTATTTAAACGCAGTACTAGATTGGCCGCAATGCATAATCATTTTACAATTAAAATAGTTAATATATATATATATATATATATATATATATATATATATATATATATATATAAACTTCAGTTTTTTTGTTAACAGTTTCCTTTCTCGTATTTCGCGCTTGTGGAACAGTCTTCCGACTTCTTGATTTCCGGCCAAATTTTTTTTCCAAATGACTGAATGCAATATCAATCGTTATGATCTGCCATCTTAATTCCTATTATTTTTTTGTTCTCTCTCCTTAAGAATGTTTTGCTTTTTCTCATATACTTTAATACGCAGTAACCCCTTGAATCTTATTGGCTTTATTATCTAGCTTTTAAATGATTAACACACACGCACACACACAGAGAAACAAACAAACACAGAGAGGATGCAATGGATAAATAGTCGCCATTTTTGTAGTTTTAATTTCGCGGATGTGTCTTACTTGTTCTTTGTCGACAGCACTATATAGTATGGGTCAGTTGGGCAAAGTCTGTGAGAAAAAGAGAAATATGACGCAATTCAATCCGCCAACAATATGAAAACGGTATGCTATACTCGACATTCGTGCCAGAAACTGCAATACGAGCTTTTCAAAGTGTTTGGGCGTCAATCCGAGAAGAGTGAATGGGATTCGGAAAGCAGGAGAACCCAGTAATGGTTTTCAGACAATTTCGGCAACTACATCTGCCCACTTAACTCGCCAGATTACAACCTCGCTGATTATTATGCGTGGGGCGCAGTTGGGCAAGAGACCAACAAAACTCCTTATAACACCAAAGATAAACTAAAAGCATTAACCAACTTAAACAGGAGACCATCCAGAACAGATGCAGGAGATTTCGAAGTTGTCTGAGGGACGGGGTTAAAGCCAATAGCGATTTTATAGAATAAATTTACTCTTTCGTATTTCAAGATATTTTTGTGGAATATTGGTAAATATATCTAACAAAATGAGACATCAGTGTTATTCTTTCTGTTTGCATAATATGGACGACAATTTATTCATCACACACACACATATATATATATATATATATATATATATATATATATATATATATATGTGTGTGTGTGTGTGTGTGTGTGTGTGAAAAGTGTATATAAATAAATATACATATATATGTATAATTATTTATATATATATATATGCGGTACTTATTAGAAAGTGACGATCGCTAAAGCGTGAAACCCAGGGTCAAAAAATCACATTTGTCAAAAACCAAAATATATATATATATATATATATATATATATATATATATATATATATATAGTTGAGAAATATTAAGAATAAACATCGGTATTTGGGAATGAGTAATTGATTACCGGAATGGCTTATCAAGCTATTAATCCTGTAGAAATACTTCGTTAATGGTGTAATATAATTTGTAGATTTCTAGATTAGAGTAAGTATTAAATTATCTATTATGGATACATTGAGGAAGGGAAGGTACTAATAAATGATCTAGTCTAGTGGACCCTGATGATTTCGTATTGAGTTTATGATACTTAAGTTGTTCAAAATCTCTATTCTCAAATAAGACAATAATATAATTAGAAATGAAATAGAAAGACGTGAATTAATAGTGTAACTGTCTGACCGTTAATACTGTGTAATTAGTTCGATCCTCACTGAGTAAATATTATGTTCAGTTCTATGAAAATCGACCAGATCGCACTCCTCTGATTTTTGAAAAGTAGTACAGCTGTATTGCTAGTTTTGTTTTTCTCTTAAACTCATCTAATTTTCGTTCACTCCCATAAATCCATTGCGACTTAGTGGCATTATCGCCTTCCTTCGGTGAAATGATACAAATAATTACATACATAAACACACACACACACACACACACACACACATATATATATATATATATATATATTCGTTTTTTATAGATAAAAATATTTAAGCAAATTCTATGTTTATAATAAACAGCATTAACAACATTTACCGGCCTGAATGTCCGAGAAATCGCCATAGAAAATATGCGTCTTCCTACAGGAATATTATTATTATAAACAGAGCATTTACTTAAATATTTGTATCTATAAAAGCAAGAGAATATGTAAACATAAAATGTCTTAAAATAATTGTCGGAATTTTTACATTTCATAATATATATATATATATATATATATATATATATATATATATATATATATACCCAAGTATATAATTGGTATATACGGAATTAATTCCAATAACCAACAATTACTATTCTTAAAAGAGTGCTCAATACAAAGTAGAGCAGATATAATTATTTTTTTAGTGATTTTATAACATACTTATGTTATAATTTTTTATAAAAATAATTATATATATATATATATATATATATATATATATATATATATATATATATGAGCAGCAATCCTCTTTTATACAAGTTTCCTTAAAACCGACTGTCAAGTTAATGCGATTAAGTTTTCTATTCAATTTTTCTTGCCTTCGTAAGTGCTTTTTCTGAACACAAAATTTCTAAAAGATGACCGAATATATAGAATATTTGGACAATTTTAACTCTTTTGCTTCGCATAAAAATTAAGGAACGAGACAGATTCTCATTTCTTTACATTTCGCACACTGTCACAAAGGCAACCATCTTGGAGATATTTTCACCGAAAATCCTTCGTATAAGAAGCAAGGGACGAAGGATATCCCACGCATATTTTCATTTCTATAATTTAGACCACACGTACACTATGCATTCTGTCCACTTAGCAGACATTTTGGAGAAATTGCCACCGGAAGATCCTTCGCATATGGAATAAGGAACGAAATAGGTTCCACGCATATTTTCCTTAAAACTCTGTCCCATTAGCAGCCATTTTGGAGAAATCTTCACCTACAGAACCTTCCTATAAGAAATATGCAACGAGGGAGATCCTACCCATATATATATATATATATATATATATACATTGTGTACTCTTCTGTCGTATTCGACGTATGAGGGTCAAGGAGCGCAGTTGCTAAGAAGAGATAGCCAGACATGATTTGGTTTTAGTGGTGAAGACTTTGTATAGAACCATCCAGACTTTTTGAAAGGCCGAATACAGAGACCTGGTGAACCACGTGCCACAAGGATCCCAAATGAACCTCTGCAGGTTCTGAAGTCCTTCTCCTAGACCTGTTGCCACCCTGCCATCAAAGGCTATAAGACCTAGTCTGTTCTGCTACTGGAGGAAGAAGAAGAGCATTAATATTTTCCCAAGGGTATTAGCACGTAAATGAAAGTAATGGATTCGACTGGAATTCGAACTCGGCTGATTCCTCAATTCGAGTCGCTATCCACTACTCTACCGTCTCTCTCTCTCTCTCTTTCTCTCTCTCTTTCTATCTATCTATCTATCTATATATATATATATATATATATATGTGTGTGTGTGTGTGGAAAATGTGTATATATATATATATATATATATATACATACATATATGTAAAATGTGTATGTTCATATATATATATATATATATATATATATATATATATATATATATATATATATGCGTGTGTGTGTGTAATTTATATATATATATATATTATTTATATATTATATGCTTTTTTATATGGATATTGGAATGCGCTCGATATTCGTGATAGAGGTAACATACTTAGTTGGGTTGATGTGAGACAAACTCACATCAACACAACTATATATATATATATATATATATATATATACAGTCACACACACACACACACACACACACACACACACACATATATATATATATATATATATATATATATATATATATAGTATCTTGTACAATTGAAAGAAAACTACAACCCGAATCAATTCGATGTAGTCACCTTCGAAATGGTTGTATTCCAATGTGATACATTTTATCCACCATCTTTTCTTTTGATAGAAGCATTCCTGGAACTCCTTTCTTTCGTCGCATTCTTATGGGTTGCCTCGACGTCTAGGAAACTTGTTCCTTTCAATTGGCATTTCATTTTTGGAAGTTGGAATAAGTCGCTAGGTAAAATATCATTGGAATATTGTAGTTGGTTAGTGCATAACCCAAAACTGCTTTATCAGCCCGTATGTTTGATGGAACATTTGTGATGTGATCAAACGACGACACAACACAACACTCCTACCAAGCACTGCGCTAAATAACGGAAGTGAACGTGAAAATTATAAAGTGTGTTTGATTCGAGACAGTTCGATGTCTCTGGGCTTCAAATGGCTTCGTACTTTAGCTACCTTAGTGTTGTGGGGCTCTTCCCTTTTTACATAAGATGGACTCATCCAAAGTATACATATACTGACAGAGAGAAAACCTGCTGTTGAGAAACGTGGGTATACAGTCTCTTTGACGAAGCTTTGCCGAAGTCTAGGCGGGTTCAAAGGGCATATTTTTGGCCGAGCCTACGGGCTCGGAGAAACCCACTGTAAACTCGGCCTTGTGCCACATATATTCCACGCGGGTGGAATATTAAATATTGAGATGCGTCGAGATACAGCCTCTGACTGTGTTCGACGTCTGTCGAACTCACTGCTTTGGCAGAGAAGAAACCGGACGAGGTTTTGCCGAAGGGAAAAGTTTCGCCTGGGGAGGTCGACAGTTCCAGAACCCGCTTATGCAGGCTCAAAGGGGATATTTTTTGGCTGAGCCTACGGACTCGGAGAAACCCATTTTAAACTCGGCCTTGTACCACATATATTTCTCGTGGGTGGAATGTTAAATACTGAGATTCGTGGAGATACGTAGAGATACCTGGAGATACGTTGAGATTCGTTGAGACAGGTTGAGAGCTACAGAGACAGACACAGGGTGTTCCAGAGAGAGAGAGAGAGAGAGAGAGAGAGAGAGAGAGAGAGAGAGAGATTACGGCTTTACTAATAGAGACTTGTACATATACTTTCTACTATCCCGCATTATTGGATTACTAATATTCAATTCAAGCCTGTATTCTTACGTTTAATACACTTATTTTTCTATCTCAATTAGTGGCGTTGTTTATTTATTTGTGCAGGATTCCATTCACGGAATCCACAACACTTAGCATATCAACAACCCAGTACATTTTATTAGACCTCTTATACTTCTTTTTTGCTATATCTGTTATAGCCGTGAGCGATTACATCTCTCTATAACTCCATGTTCCTTGTTCTATGTAGTTTTTTTTTATTTCTTTCGTGTCAAATTATCCCCTCCCTCTCATCCATTCTCACAAACTCAATGTATGTTACAATGTTTGAGTACTGTATCATTCTCCACCTTCGGATTTCATTACATTCTATGAGGGACAATTTCTCTAAGCCCGCTTTCTTCGCTATGTGACAGTGAAATTTAAACGGTTTCTTTCTGATTTTAAGTGTGCTTTTTCGTTAAAAACAAAGAAAAGATTACTGAAAAGTCACGTGATATCTGCCCTCCTGTATGGCAGCAAATCCTAGACTATCATCTCAAAAATGATGAAGTGACTTGAAGCAACAGAAATATGGTTCTATAGAAAGATAATGAGGATACCATGGCCTGAACATGTGAGCAATTGTGAGGTTTTAGAAAAAAATGGAAACGAAGATTAAACTGATATTTACCACTAGGACTAGGCAGTTGAAATTTCTGGGTCACATAATGAGGAAGGAGGGCTTGGAAAATCTGATACTCACAGGACAAACAGAAGGAAAGAGGAACAGAGGAAAGCAGCTCGTAACTTCCTCAATGGGATGGATGGCGGAACGGAGTTTGGCAGAATTAACAAAAAGACAAAACTTATTAAGAACTATAGGTGTCAGGAGGGAGTGGTGGGCCATGATCGCCTACGCCCTAAATGGACACGGCATAAAAAGAAATATTTTGTGCTTATTTTCTTTGCAACTTTCGCGTTGGCCATATGATCTGCCACTGTTCTTATCAGCCTCTGTATATAGAACCATATCGATGTCGTTGTGTCTGTCTTTTTCATTTAGATTTAACTGCTGCATAGTGTGATGATTATTTAATATATTTTTTTGTTTATGAGTTATTTTGATAGATATAATTTATTTACGTAAATGCCCTGTCTTGAAAATAAACAGAATTAATTATATTTACCTCCGTGAATGCTCTAGACATTTCGTAGAAAATATGTGCTTCTACAAGAGAAATCACATATCACGGAGAAGCACGTATTTCTTAAGAAATTTCTCGAACATTCAAGCCGGTAATTGTAATTAATACCTTTTATTTAAAAAAAAGAGCATTTATTTAAATAAGTTGAATCTAGTAAAATATCGTAGAAACAGAAAATATATGAAATTATTGTCGGACTTAATCTATTTCATAATATGTTGTCAATGTTTACATTAAGGTACGTATCGCGAGCAGATATGATCGTCGAAGATTCCTTGTTTATAAAAAGGAATTCCGGTTTTGGTAAGCTGAGGCTTCTTTGTAGCTGAATGGTTAACAGCACATCAGATCAAATGATGATTCCTATTGCGGTTACATATCGATTCCTGTCGTAGAAGCATATATTTTCTACGAAATTTCTCAAATATTAATTAGTACTAAAAAAAAAACAAAAAAAAACAAAAAAAAAACACAAAACAACAGAGCATTGACTTAAATACATTGTATCTACTAAAATAAGGTATAAACAGAAAATATATTAAATAAGTGGATGAATATAAAATAACGTTTCAGTACTATTTTCTTTTTTCTAAGGAACATATTCCATTCCTTAAAATCTTGCTTAATTATCTTTGCTATTCCGATGTGCTCTCGGATTACTGTGTAACATTTTCAATCACTTAATCTTTTCAATAATTTAAATATAAATATTTGTTATGAACAGGTTCCAGAATTTTAATAATTTCTTGGAGTTGTACAGACGGATTCTTGGAGTATTGTCGACCAGTCTTCGAGCGAAATTGGGAGGGGCACCGGAGATTTGTGTTAGATATTTACATATGACTATTTCCTCAGAGAGATGACAGGTCGATCTTCTCGTGAGAAACGATGTTGTGGTCCGTCGATATATATATAGAGTAGCGTCCAAAACTAAGGGACAAAATTTTAAAACCTAATATTTGTTAGAAATAACAATTGTGAAAAGCTGAAATTTTGACAACTGGTAGTCGTTATCATCCATAATAACATACTAAAATTTGAATCATTTGCAAAGGATAGAAAAAGAATTATAACAATTATTTATTTATTTTCAAAATAGGATCGTCCAAAATTAAGGGACAAAATTGAGAAAAACAATGTAAACAGTATGCTATATTCAAATTTTTTGATTTCCTCTAAAGAATAAGTCTTACTTAGTCATTTGTAAACGTTGCATCAGCCGGCACCATGGCGAAACGCCAAAAACTTGATTACTCTGTGAGGCAAGCTATTGTGAAGCTACACAAGGAAAAGCACACCATTAGAGAGATTTCAGAGAAAGTGAAACGTTCCAAGAGTGTTGTAGGCAGGGTTGTTAAATCCTACAATGATACTGGCAAAATAGTTAGTGCTTTTAAAACCGGCAGACCCCGCAAAACTTCGGCAAGAGAAGATCGAATAATGCAGCGTATGTCATTAAAGGACCGTTTTACGTCTTGCACAGAAATTAAAAGGGTTATGAATAGTACCTCATGTTTTAATGTGTCAAGACAGACTGTTTGTAGACGACTGCAAGAAATAGGGCTGTTTAATCGAACCCCATAGAAGAAACCACTTGTTAGTTCGAAGAATAAGAAGAGATTAGAGTTTGCAAACAGGTATGTAATTTGGACATATGAAAATTGGGCAAAAGTATTTTTCAGTGATGAAAGCAAGTTTAATTTATTTGGAAATGATGGAAAAAAACAATGTAAAGAGACGTATTGGTGAAAGATTAAGTGCAAAGTGTACTAAGAAAACTCTCAAGTTTGGGGGCGGAAGCGTCATGGTATTTGGAATGTTTTCTAGCCAAGGTACAACGCCTCTTGTCCGGTTACAAACTCGTGTAAACGCGCAGATCTATAAACACATTGTTCAAGATCATGTTGTGCCAATCATACATAATTCAGGTTTCGATAGGGCTACCTTTATGCAAGATAATGCCCCATGTCACAAGGCAAAGGTGGTAATGAGTTACCTTAGCGAGCAAGATTTGGAAATTATGGATTGGCCACCGCAAAGTCCTGACTTAAATCCAATAGAAAATCTTTGGAAGACCTTAGGAGTGAAAGTTATGGGAAGAAATCCCACTAACACGGAGGGTTTGTGGGTGAAGCTTCAAGAAGAATGGTCTAAAATTAGTATCGAGGATTGTCAAGAACTGATTCGTTCTTGTAGTCGAAGATGTGCAGCTGTCATTGAGAGCAAGGGCTCATTTACTAAATATTGATTGTACATGTATTTTTATTGTTTTTGTGCCGTTTACATTGTTTTTCTCAATTTTGTCCCTTACTTTTGGACGTTCCAAATTTGAAAATAAATAAATAATTCTTTTTCTATCCTTTGCAAGTGATTCAAATTTTAGTATATTATTATGGATGATAACGACTACCAATTGTCAAAATTTCAGCTTTTCATAGTTGTTATTTCTAACAAATATTAGGTTTTAAAATTTTGTCCCTTTGTTTTGGACGCTACTGTATATATATTTTTATTTATTTTGCAGCCTTAACGTGTGGAGTCACGTTCATTTTAATCTTCTGACCGATAGCAACATAAATGCAACAGTGGTTATCTCTCGACTTTTGAGCTTCTCCTTTTGAAATCGAGCAAAGATTGCCGAAATTTTTTGAAACATAACACACACGTACTTCTTCTTCTTCCTCTTCTTCTTTCTCTTCTTCTTTTTTCCTCTTCTTTTTTCTTCTTTATTTTTCTTTTTCCTTCTTTCTACTTTTTCTCCTTTTTTCTTCTTTCTTCGCCTCCTCCTCCAAGTAACGTTTTCTATCAGGAGGTGAGCAATCATGGTTCTCCACAAATTCCTGTTCCTTGTAGCTCTTAGAAATATTTTCTTTTTTCTTTTTGCTGTCATTCCAAATTCCTGTTCTGCCATACATTTTACAAAACCTCACGAGTTTATTCGGTGCATTCCTCTGGACGATCTTACTATTTATGTACATGTCTTTCACCCTCCTTACACCCATAAATACTTCTATCTTCCACGTAGCTATGTGTATTTCTCTATATCTGTTCCTATACTTGGGTGACAGTCCTGTAAATCAGGACATGTGTAGGCATGTTTGTACTAAAATATGCGTACTAAATATTAGCAGTATGTAATATTTATTTTAAATAATGTATACGTCGGGTAAAAAACATTTAATACACTTATCAATATTTTACACCACGTTTGTAAAAAAAGTGATAAAACAAATTTTGAACGGATAACATCCCTCCACTTATGATAAGGAGGACGCCTTCCATATTCGTATTTTTATTCTTAATAATTTATTATTAATGAAAAAAATCTAATTTCTTTCTCATTTAATATATTTTCCTTATTTTTTTTATTTTCGTCTCTCTCTCTTTCTCTCTCTCTCCTCCATATATATATATATATATATATATATATATATATATATATATATATATATATATATATGCGTATATACATATGCATACACAGCAAATACATATATAGACGCATACCTACCTATACCAGTGAATAATTTATATTTAGACAGGAAGAATTCAATCAAACAATTTTTATTAAATTCAACCGACATGATCTAATTTTTCTCTTCATATTTTTCCTATTGATGACAACCTTGTTGCACCTCCTGATCAAATCTGTGGGGAGACTGTCCAAAATTCATATTTTTATTCAAGCAATCTTTACCATTTAGACATATTATTAGAAACCTTTATTTGGCCAGCGTCTCAGTGAAAAGACTTTAATTAGCCTCATCCTGGTATTTTACGAACGCTATATTTCAAATTTATATCGTGTGCAAGTGACTTCCAGTGTCCAACTATTTCATAGAGTACGAAGATAGTATTAAATATTTTATAGGCATTGTAAAATGTGATCCCATTTTGGAATATATAAGGCAGTTTATTTTTTTCGTATAATAATATATTGTTTATAGTGAGTTTATAGTTTTCAGCCACTATTATATATATCATATCAATGCCTATATATTGGTACGTTATATTGTAATGATCAGTATGTGCTGAATTGCGATAAGTTAATGATCAAGTTAACCTACGTGATTTTGTGATAAGTGTGTGACCAATGTATGAATTTAATGATTTCAATCATTAATTTTCAAAATGCAATTTCTCAAATGTGCGAGATATCATAAAAATGTTTTTCCATTAGTGGTTCGTCTTTACTACGGGAGATATTTTAAATGTTTTTTTTTATAACAAATAATAGAACAAAGAATAAAACATTTCTTAATATAAAACGAAAAATTTAATTTTAATCACATTTTAAGCGTTTATGTTTAGGTCACGTCTGTGCAAAATAAAACTAGTTAATGATGTTTCTATTCTTGTTTATGCTCGGATGAGTGTGTTATTTCGTAGCGATATATGATGATGCTCACTAAACAAGATTAACGTTTTAATTACGTTTTAATTCCCAGCTCAGCGTACTTGGATGCAACAGCGTTGTCCATCTCTGATCAATCTCGAACAAGACATTTATAGGTTGGGAGCTGTTTTATATAACTTTTGTTAACTGAGCAGGAACGAGAGTGCACAACGAGGACGAAAACCTACAGGGCACTGGTTACCCTATTCCAAAATCTACTAGTAAATGTCCCGCCTCGCTGTAGAAGCATACAAATGAAAGATAATGATTGCTTCAACTGTTATTCTCATTCTATGTTTTTTTCAAAAACGGGGTAACGTATCGAGCAGGTTAATTTTTCGATCAAGACATAGATGACACTTGATCGAATATCATATAAAATCCAATCATATGTTGTTTCAAGGCGCAACTCCAAATTTTATAAAGATT